TTAGAAACTCAGCATAATTTTAATACTCAATATTATTAGTAGATTTTTTCAGATCGCTCAGATAAATAATAACTATTGAAAATCTATTTCTTTTCAACGTAGATGAATAGTTCTAGTTCAATAATCAAATTCATTCAAAAGCTAGCTGAATCTTAAAGAAATAGTTTCCTTGCTTCTAGGATTTATAGAGTTATTTTCTCTATAGCTACATTAGATGACTTAACTTTTTATTATTTCCATTTTTATTATAATCTTTATGATATTTCTTATTCTACTAGACTTTACTATCCTTTTTTGATTATCAAAAGACCCTAGAGAGTTCTTTTGAAATAGTTAGGATAGCCAATGATTATTTCTTTCATTATTTCATCGTATTCTTCTTGGGTAAATGAATCATCAATTTTTTATGAAATACAAGATTTTTATGATCTTTATGAAAGGAAACTATTTTGATTTTATTAAAATTTCATTTGCTGCTGCTTACAAAGTGATTATTGAGATCTAGCAGAATTTACTTGCAGCGAATAAGATTCCTATAGCTAGTATTTTTATTCTATCTAGCTTAGCATGTAATCAATTTTGTCTTCTATTTCAGAAAATTTTATCTCGATGCCTTCCTTTTTATCTTTAAGGCGATTAGTTTATTTTATTTTATTAATATCAGACTAGCATATTTAGCTCATTTACTCTTGTGCATCTTGCCAATTAGTAGAAGATTAACTTTCTAATTGCTGCACTCTAGGACTAGTACTTGGTTTGAGTAGAAACTTATTGAATGATTCTGCAATTTTTTTAGTCTATTAGCTTTAATGATTTTTATATTCTAAATAAGCCTATTAATAGATTGCTTGCTCATCTTGGAATTATTATATTTCATTCTAATTTACATTTGTATGAGAAAAGGCGTTGCATTAGACATTATGCTCAAATTTTTTATTTGAAACTTAATGATTAGGAGAAGAAATACGCTACTACTTTTCTATTGAATTTGATTTCGGAGTACTTTAGCAAGTATTTATATTTTCAAATTCTTTATTAGACTAGTCTGTGATCACAGAGAGTTCAATTGAGTTTGTAAATTATTCGATTATAATTGTTGGAAACCTACGTTATTTACCAAAAATTACTAAGTCTTTTTATTACTCTTTTTAGATATTCAGACCTTTTTCAATGTTTAATTATTTCATTTTTTGTTCAAGGTTAATAGGAATTATTTTAGTTGACGAAATTTGTTTATTTTAGGAAAAGCAGCACAACCTTTGCAGGAATGTAGAACTACCTTTAACTTTTACTTATTTTTGCTTATTTTAATTTATTTGGTTTGACATTTAAGATTTTTATTAAGATTGGCAATAATGAATTATTGTGTAGGTTGTCAGTTTCCTTTGCTTTATGGCTGGAGATTCTATTAATATGTTTAAATACTATAATATCAATTAATATTATTTACTATTAAATGATCTTGGACCATCCTAGCAATTAATTTCATTTCAAATAAATTTGTTTTAATATCACAGAACATCTACAACTGTTTCAATAATAACGCATGGGGTTTTGGGGTTTTGGGG